GATGATAAGGCCAAGTGGGACAAGGTACTGGGCTATCTAGAGGTGTTGAGCAAGGCCTGGATGGAAGAGCGCCAGGCAAGTTGGAGCCAAGATGTAGCCTTGAGTGCCATGCGGTCAGGGTTTAGAGACTTTGCGCGCGAGATCATCACCCATATTGGGGGCGAAGTCAAACAGTTGAGAGACAATGTAGGGAAGTTTTGTGAGGGCGCCATTCAGGGTGCCAAAGCTGTAGCCGCCGCAGAGGGAGAGGCCAGGCCCCGTAAGTACCTAGTGAAGCTTAAGTTTCCGGATGCGTACGGGGGAAAGAAGGAAGAAAACTTTGACAACTGGGAAGCYAGTGTCAATAGTTATATTTACTTGCAGCATATCCTGGCCGAGGAACAAGTCCTTGTGGTCTTCCAGGCCCTCAAAGATGAAGCGGCTAGCTTCGCCAGGTCTCTTGCGCGTACAGCTGGTTGTGAAAACAACCTGGTTGCGTATTCCAAAGTTACTCCTCTTTCTCAATTCCTCAAGCTCCTCAAGGAGCGGTTCGCTGACCCAACGCGAGGCATTAGAGCCTCTGATAAGCTCCAAACGATCCACTCCCGGCAGTGGAGGAGTGCCAAGGCACTCAAGGGTACTATGGACGACTTGGTAGTGGTCCCGGACCACGGGGTCACCGAGCCCCAGTTGGTCCAGTTGTTTTATCGTGCCATTCCAGAGGCCCTACGTGGGCATTTCTTTGACAAATCTCAACAGGCCGGCATGACTTACGATGCATTGAGTAGAGAAGGCGTCCTGTATGAGTCGAAGTCTATGCCAGTTACCACTTTCTGGCATAAGGACCTGGAGAAGGGGAAAAAGTGGAAAGATCGTACCATCTCGGGCCAAGTCAAGGCCAAGGATCACTTGATCCTGACATTAGAGGAGGGTGGTACAGAAGAGGTCCCATATGATCAAATTGAGTGGGGCCTAGGGGAGGAGTACAGTAGTGTAGGGCAGGGGAGGTCTTACGCTGCTGTCGCGGCTGGAGGGAGGCCGCAAATTCCTAAGACCGGGGACCGGCGAAGAACGTAATTGAAGGGTCTCGCTCGAAGCCGGACGCACACAACAGGAAGGGATTTGCATTATTTAATTTATTTTATTTATTGCAGTCATATACAAACTGCGTGACAGCCTGTTGGCTTTCTGGTCGCTTGAAGCGGCCTGACTAGAAAAAGTGCGACACCGCGCGGCCTCAAATTTGTGTTAGTATTTTTTTGTGGTTTATGACGGGACATCCCACTCGGGTCTAAAACACCCCTCCCCAACTTTCTTTTTTTCTCGACCCCTTATTTTAGGGGTGCACCGCACCCCGTGCGCTCTCCGTTGTGCGCTGTGCGCAGTGCGGCGCGTGTGCGCGGTGCTGCGCAC